TAATTTTTTTAATTTTTACTTTTTTTTTTTAAACTGCAGCAACAGAGACTTCAGAGGGACACAAGGAGGAATCCCTAAGGTGAAGGCTGCAAAATGAACGTTCTGAAAATTGGGATGTTCTCGGCAAGATTACCCGCTCCCTGACTCTCTCCCCCCGTTCAAAGCAAGCAATTTTGCTTCCGGGTGCTTCTCAGTAATTGCAATAATAAATTGAATAATTAAGCTAAATCCACAGAAGAGAATTAAATATTAATTTCTAATAAGCTCTTTGGAGGGGGTTGCCAGCCGAATGAGAATGTGTCTGCTCCTCTTTCTCCTCTTGTGCAGACCCAATGTCTTTCCTTACCAGTGGGGAGGGGCGGGACTGAGCCATGCCCATCCTTACTCCAGGACGGTGGCAGTCAGGTGCACCAGCCTGGAGCCTGGCAGGCTGCCAGTGTCACCCAAACCGACATAGGGCCCTACCAACAAAAAACGAGCCCCTGCCCATCAGAATACATCTCTCTGGTGGCTGAGGCTCCCAGTAGGCTGGGTGCCCAGTGCCATCAGGCAGCATGATAAGTAAGACAGGATGATAATGTATATGGGGACACTGCAGTCACCTGAGGAACACTGGCCCCCAGAGGCTTTGACAAACCAGGCTTAAGTTCTGTGTGGCATCCGTGATCCAAGGAGATCTTGAACCCCGATGGGGTAGCCCAGGTAGCCCATCGATGGTTTGGACTTATCCCTACAAATGCAGAACTCAAGGGGCAGACCCTGAGTGTGACCTGAGCACTTGTAATCCCTGATCCTGGTTACACACTGATCCCTGGCTCCGCTCACACCCTGAGCCTGGTCCTGGTTACTCAATCTTGAGCTGGTTGCTTGGCTGTGAATTATCCCTGACCCTTGAGAGGTCACATGAGAGGTCAGAAGGCTCAGCTAAGCCCTTGTGTTCCCCAGAAGATGAGGAGGTACAGGGAAGTTTGTTCATCCAGAGAGGAGAGGCCCCGAGGGTATAGGGAGCTGGGCACCGTCTCCGTAGTGGTGGTGGAACCCTATGATGATGGCTGCGAGGGCTGGGGCCAGAGCAGGAAGGGATTGTACCTGCAGACCCACGGAACAGTGATTCCCTCGGATGGCTCTGCTGTGTCCTACAGAGCATGTACTGGACTCTGGGATGGAACCTGGCTTGGTACCTGACGGTCCTAAGGCTGCTGGCAATTCTCCTTGATTCAGTCCTTGTATTCAGCGTGGATGCCTGGTCATGTTGGTGTGGTGGGGCAGAGATGTAGGTTCTGAGAAACACTAGGGAGAGCCTGGCCTGTGGTATCCCCTGCTATGGGACTGAGCTCCACAAAACATGATCAGTGGCTTTTGAATTTCAGAGATAGAATGGGTCATCTAGTGTGGCATGCCCCAGATGACACTCAGGGTGTCTTATAGTCAACCAATGGCTCATTGTTTATCAAAGTTTAGCCTGTCGTCTTGTATTTTGTGGGTCCCACCTAATGTAGGCTTTCCTGGCAGCTATGTTTTGGAAGTCCCCTGCCCTGTAGCCCTCTGATTTGAAGATCTGAAGGAGCCAGGGAAGCAGAGAAGGCACAGCTGGCATTGCCCCCAGAGACCTGGTCTAGCTGGGGCAGGAGGAGCCTGGGAGACTCATCCTTATGCAAATGAGGGAAAGGAATGAACAGGATGCCCTGTTTTCTGAGCTCTGACCTCAGCTTGCTGGGAAACCCAGGTTAAGACCCTGGAACTTCTCTGAGCCCAGTCACTCAGGAGCAAACAGGATAGTTGGGCTGTATGTCCCTCCTACATCTCCATTCACTCATTCTTCCATGTATGCCCTCCACCATCACATAAAACACTGACAGTTGTCCCAGATGCAGGGTCAGCCGAGATGGGAGACTTCGTGGCTCCAAGGTCCCCACCATGCCTCACTGATATATGGCTGGAACATTGGTGCCTTGCTCACTCTTGATGGCCTGCCCAAGCCCACCATAGGTCCCATTGGTACCCTTGCCTCTGATGGCACAGCCAAGTCTAAGTACCATGGATAGAGTCAGTGCTGTTGTCAGGGGGAGATTCCAGGCTAGAAGCCTGTTAGTTCAGACTTCATCTCTCCAACACAGGGACAGCATCTTTGGCCACCCTGAGATCTCCTGTCCAGCAAAAACTGAGGAGAGACATTCTGATGTGGAAGGACTGAGCGCCTGGGCCCTGGTCAGCTAGAAAGGCAGGTGCCAGGTCTCCACTGCCTGCTTGCTCTTCTTCCCACTTGTTCTGGCTTCTGCCCCTCAGGCAGGAGGAAAAGAATGAAGTGAGCAAAGTCCTGGGAGGGACAGGGAGGATAGAATTATATTGAGCTCGCACCCTCATGCACACACACACACACACACACACACACACACACACACACACGCACACACGCACACACACACACACGCATCTCTCTGAGAACTTGTCTCCTGGGCATGAGGCCCTTGGGTTTGCAGCTCCTCAGAAGCTCTAGCCCACACACCCAAGCCTTGCCTTTCTGTCCACCCCAGCCTTGCCCTGACCCTTCCTCCATGCATCCTGCTAACATGGGCCCATCTGTTCCAGTCCAAAGGTTGTCTCAGCAGCCTTTCAAGTGCCATATGGCTGAGGCTCAGGCTGCAAGGGAAGAAGCAGGGCGTAAGAGTTCCTGGGGTTGGGGGATGTGGAGATGAGGCTAGAGGTTGCTTTTGCTCCAGGTCTGGCCAGGGGACAGCCCAGGGACTGGAGAAACTGGGAGTAGTAGTGATTGGGAGTGGGAAAAGGACATAGCCGGGTCTGAAGGATGTGGGAAAGCCTTCTTTTTCCCTTTAAGCCATTTGCCACGGCTGGCAGAGGCTAGGGTGGCTCTGCACAGGGCCCAGGGTGGCATTTAGCTCTATGTCCCTAGCCAGAACCTACCACAGCCCCCAGGGAAGGGCTGCTGGGTTATACAGAATTCTCTGAGACTACAAATCCAGCTTGTGGGTGTGAGTTGAGCACTGGTCATGTACCATGGAGGATATTGAGGCTCAGGAGGAGCTAGCCTGCCCTGCCCTGGGTAAGAGGGTTAGGAATAGGATGAGGATCTTGCTCTCAGACAAGGCTTCCCCGTTATGGTAGTTTGAATAAGAATGGCCCCCATAGGCTCACATATTTAAATGCTTAGGGAGTGGCACTATTTGAAAGGATTAGGAGGTGTGGCCTTGTTGGAGGAAGTGTGTCACTGGGGTTGGGCTTTGAGGTTTCAGAAACCCAAACCAGGCCCAGAGGCTCTCTCTTCCTGCTCCTGAGGATCCAGATGTGGGGGAACTCTCAGCTTCTTCTCCAGCACCCTATCTGTTTGCATGCTTCCCACCATGCTGATAACGGACTGAACCTCTGATGCCATAAGCCAGCCCCAATTAAATGTTTTCCTTTATAAGAGTTGCTGCGGTCATGGTGCCTCTTCACAGCAATAGACCACTAAGACATCTGGGATTCTCCCTGGTACTGCTTGGAGATCCCCTGAGTCTGGGTCCTCTGGGAGTAGATGGTAGGTAGATAACTGAGTACCAGGTAGGCCCAGTTAGATGTAGGAGCAGAAGAGGAGGGAAGGTGATAGAATGGCTGAGTGGAACCTGGAATAGTCTTAGGGTCTCTGTGTTCAGGGCTGAGTATGAAGGCAGTGGTAAGGAATGAGGTGATGGGGCCTTGGGAGACACATGAGTCACAAATGGCCCAGAGTAGACCCATATCGGGCTCCAGGCACTGCAGGACTGCCACCAGGGCACCTTATCACCTGACCCTGTCTGATCCCTCTCTACTGTCACAGCAGCATATGTTCCTGGGGCTCACTGGCCATCATGATGCTTAGACATCCTACTCCATGATCATCCTCATTAAAGAGTCAGGTCTCTGAGTGCAGCTGAAATCCTGGTCCCCTCCTAACAGATGCCCATCCAACCATCCCACAGTCACACAGTCACTTCTGCAATGGTCATTCAGTGCCATTCTGTGCCAGGCCTGGCCAGGGCCCAGGAATACATAAACTGATCACAGTCTCCACTTTAAAATGCAACTGTCCCGCCTGCTGAGGCCAAGACCCACCATGAGCCACAGTGAGTGAATCATGCCCTGGACCAGGACCGGAGTGAGTCTCTGTCAGCTCTGGTTGGGAGCTCCAAAGCCCAGATACTTTTTGGACATTGCTCTGGAGGCTGTAGTGAGACTAGGTGCTGCAGGGTGGGTTCTGCTGAGGGCTGCTTCTCCTTGTCTCCACACAGCAAGAAGAGGTGGGGAGCTCCCTGGGCATGACCCCATCACAAGTCCTACCTCCTGACCCATCAGCTCCCCAGGTCCTGCCACCGACACCCACCCTTGGGGCTTAGGGCTCATCTTGGAATTTTGAGAATGCACATCTGTTCAAAGCCCAGCAGGGGTTGGAATGAGGCTGGCTGGTGTTGAACAGAGGCGCCCCAGAGTGTCACATTAAGAAGGAAGGAGGTGTTAGAGAACATCCCAGAGATCAGAGAAACAGACATTCCAGGCAGAGGAAACTCAGAAGAGGCTTAGAAGAAAGGTGATATTTCAGAGCCCCACAGAGGGCTCCTGGGTTGGGATAAGATCAGATGACAGGAAGAGTCCTTGGTAGAGAGACTGATTTTGGGGGGATAATTGGAGAATGGTCCATGGAGCGTCCAATGAAGGCTGCTTAGTGGGAGAACTTACGAGTTTGCTTTGCTAAAGAAGCCCAGAGTCATCCTGGCTTGGACCTAGGGAAGGGCCTAGGTGTCTCTGTGCTTCAGAACGGAGCTGGTGAGGGATGATGGGGGGCGCTCCCACTGTTAGATCCCTTCCTCTTCTTCCTCACAAGATAGTTCCTGGACAGGGACAATTGTAAAGGTAGGTGATGGGTGCTCCCCCTTGTTATCCTCACAATGGACATCTGGGCCCCTGACACCTCCAGGCCCTAGTATGACTCCCTGTTAGCCTAAGGTACCCCTCCCTTCCCCCTGCAGGGGCACAGCTATCTCCAAGCTGACAGCATGGGGAATTGCTCCTTTGAAGACCAGCACTGCCCACCTCAACCCTGCATCGTCGTCAGTGAAGGTAGCCTGGGCTGACTCAGCTCTCAGTACCTGGCCCTCAGTGCCCAGCGCCCACCCTTGGCCCTCCTGCTTCCCCTGGTGTTTGGGGCCCCAGGAACCAGCTATTGGGTGAGTCACCAACTCCTTTGGAATCTGTCCTTCTCCAAAGACCCAGAGAGGCTTCGGGGCCTTAGGGAACCTTGTTCCTTGCCCCATCTGCAGCCGCCTCTGCCCACAGCCAGGCAGTAGTGTTGTATCTCTACTGGGGTTTATTGAGGATTTTGAGAGGACATTATTGGTTGGGGCAGACCCGATGCATTCACTGCAAAGGGAGAAAGGAAATGCGGCAAGGAGCAGAGAGGGACCACTCATACTCCGGCAAAGATTGCAGGGTTGGAGGGCGTAGACAGGACCATGGGGGTGGTTCCTGCAGGAGCCAGCGGCCACAAGGACAAGATAAGAACTGAAAGAAGGCTCTGAGAGGCAGACCCCACCGTCTGCATAGGTGGTCACTGACACAGAAGAGCTGGGAAAAGACCGATGAAAGGGACAGATGGGATAGGCCACTCCTCACAGGGCCTGTTTCTTCATCTGAGAAATGGACCCTGGTTATCATAATGCCCTTTCTTACTGTAGAGGGCAGTAAGGCCAGGCTGCCTCTGCCTTGGGGGCAACCTCTAGCCCCAGGGAAACGGGAGGGCTGGGCTGTTCCCTAGGAACTAGGTTTTGGGACCAGAGGGTGGCACTATTGATATGGGGGTCCAGTGAGTGTGCATGGGTGACTATGTTAGAGTGTGGCATGTAAGTGTGTGTGTGTGTGTATGTGTGTGTGTGTATGTACACATGATGGTGTGACTCCTGGTGTGAGTGTTCCGGAGCAGGAAACTGGCCCTGCCCCACAGTGTAGCATTTGGCCTGGACAGGTTTTTTTTTTTTTTTCTGATCTCATACCATCACAAGCTCCCCCTGGGGTACGACAGTCTAAATGTGTGGCCCACTGGCTTTAATGGGTGGGTCTGTTCTGAGGATCCAGAAGTCCCAGTCTCACAGGGGAATCTGTAAGGGCCAGCTCTCAGACCTTACCAACCCGAGGTCCCCTTGGGGATCTGCAGACGTGGGTTAAAGAACTGAGAAAGAACAGCGGAGCCTGTTGGACCTGTGGTGTTCCCACAGCTGCCTGTGGTTCTGCGTACAGCCCTGGAACCCACTGCTTCTCCCAGGCTGCAGCTCTGGCCCTCGAAGCGCATCCCAGATAAGTCTACATGTTGCTGAACATACTCCGGGAGAGTCGGTGTCCCATCCTTTACCTCTCATTTCACTCCCCTCTGCTGAGAGAACCCTGACCCAGCCTGCTTTGCCCAGTTCTGGGCTTCAGGATCCCGAAGCGTTGCGATGCTGAGTTTCGAGGCTGCTTCTCTCCCAAAGGTCCTGAGAAACTTGACGCTATGAGGTGGGGGGCCGGTGGGTGAACAGAAGACGCCCCCCAAGCCTCAGCTGTTGGCCACCTTCCCAGCTTTGTAGCAGCAATGCACACAGGCCCCAGGGTGTCCCATGGAGGTGTCAGGAGCAAATTGGATTTTACACCTCCTGGCTGCAGGTGTGAGGAGCTGGCTAGGGCAGCCAGGGCGGCTGGAGGACATGCCGGCCTCTGATGCTGAGCAGAGCAGCTGTGGACAGGGTTGTGATGCTCCTCGGAGGGGAGGGAGGGGCAGGACCAGCCCAGAACGGGAGCTTCAGCGCCAAGTGACTACTGTCCGCCTTGTCTTCTGTGGCTATCTCTGTCCTGGGTCTCCATGTGGGGGTTGCTGGGTTAGAGGCCTATCCACAGGGAGGTACAGGGAGGGCATGACACTCTGAAGGCAGGCATCCCTGCAGGAGGTGGCTGTGGGCCCGGCTGATGGGAACAGAGTGGCTATGGCTCTGCCTGTGCCCAAGTGAGTTTCGGGACCTTGGAAAGGGTCTGGGGTCTCTCCTCATGGTGGGCTGATTGAGGTCCCCCAGCCTGCATACCCCTGCTGAGGCTGGCTGCCCTGAGCCCCTGCTCCATCAGCACTTCTGGCGGGACTTGGAGGAGCAGGTGTGCCAGGTGAGAAGTTCAGGTGAGGGGCAGCAGGAGGGCAGGGCAGGACCGTGCTGACAAGCGCAGCTGCTGCTACCGCCAGGCTAAACCCAGCACCCCGCCCCTGTCAGGCCTGAAGTGTCAGGAGTGTCAGGATGACCTTCAGGCCCCACTCTCTGGAGCAGCAGGAGGCCCAGAGCCATGTGGCTGTCCAGGCATGCAGGAGAGAGTCTTACCTAGGGTGCCCATCTGGTGTGGGGACAGGCCAGGCCCCGGGCTGACATGAGCAGTTGACCACAGAGGTTTCCTAAGGAATCATCAAATCAGGCAGACGTTTGGCCACCACCCCGGGTCTTCTCGGAGGAGGAGGAGAGCAAGTGTGGGATGGGCTTTCCCATGCTGCACACACTGGATCCAGAACTGACAGGCCAGACAAGTTTGGTGGGAACCAAGGGGGAATTGCGTGTTTCTTTTGGACGTGTGGGGTCAGAGGAGTGGTGTGTGTGTGTGTGTGTGTGTGTGTGTGTGTGTGTGTGTGTTGGAGAAATGGGGGTCTGTAATGGAGGAGGGTCCTAGAAGGAGGATGGAGATGGGCAGAGCGTGGGGTGGTACCCAGCAGGTTCATAAGAGATGCTCCCTTAGTGGGAGCCCTCCTCCAGGGCCTGCAGGTATCTGCAGCCTCCTCCCTGTTCCCCCGCCTCTCAGGAGACCCTCCTGCCCTCCTCTCTGGCTAGCTATGGATGGTGTAGTGTTGTTCAGTCCTACTCCAACCTGCCCACCTCTCCTCACCAAGCATGGCTTCCTCACCTGTGAGGTGGATGGTACCAGTGAGAGTGTTGTGACATGGGTCTGTGGAACATACAGCTCAGACTCTGTCACCTGGCTGGGCCTGGAACCCCCCATAGGTTCCCTCTGCCACAGGACCCGCTGTCTAGAAGTTTCATGACTGGCAGCTTGAGACACTTCAGTGCTTCTGGAACCAAGCCTCACCAGCAGGGGCCTCCAGCTGAGCCACCTGGGGTAAGGACCCAAAATAGCTGTTGAACCTGTGCATCCCCAAGGTGACCCCAAGGGGACCAGGCAGCTAGGTTCTCCTCTCCAAGCTTACCCACCACACACTCTGTTCACCTTAGTCAGCCAGATCCTGGAGAGATCACTGCAGCATGCATCTGCCCTGTCCTCTCCCCAGGCAGTGGGTGAGGTGAGGGCCAGTCAGAGGATCTTGGAGTGAATCCTTTCCACTCAGGAAGGTCAGGATGGTCAGGTGGGAGTCTGACCTCATGGAAGCAGATGGATGTCTGACAGCCTGGCTTCCTCCCTTGGGGAGGTCTCCATGGGGTCAGATTTCTCTCTAGAGATACAGACTGAGAGGCTAGTCTGCTGAGGCAGACTGAATCCTGGATCTGAGTATCCCAGCGAGGTACTGTGTCTGGGTAGAGCCCTGGCTGGTGCCACTGGGACACAGGACAGGACTGGCCATGCCGAGCCCCCTTCTGTCCCCAAGAGCCATCTACCCTGACTCAGTTACTTTCTCTACAACTGCCACCGGGAAGCTTGGGTATCTCTCTGGAACCCTCTGGAAGGTTCCAGTTTCTCGCTACAGCTTGGCCCACAGCTATTCCTCTCTTCCATGTCCTGTGTGACGACATCAGCCTGGAATCTAGCGTCAGGGCCTAGAGGCAACCCAGGCCAGTTCCTCGCCTCCTCTCACCTCAAGACCACGAGGAACCCTAGAGAGCCCTTTCATGGATTCACTCATTCCTTCTCTTGGCTCTCTCTGAACACTGGCACATCCGGGCCTTCACTCTCTTCCCTGCCCAACAGACCACACCAACCTTCTGCTCTGACAGCCCAGCCCAGGGGGACCACGCTCTCCTTTAGCCTGTCCAGCTGGCCGCACCAGCCTCTCTCTCCCTCCTACTCTGACCCACTGAGGTGACCATGCTGCCCTCCGCCCTCTGGCATGCTCAGCTGTGTGACCTGTGGTCATTCCAGGGCCAGCCTCTCCAGCCCTGGCCTGGGCTCAGCCTTTCAAACAGCCAGCCATCTTCAGCCAGAACCCAAGCCTGCTCCAGACAACTCTGGTGAAGAAATATACCGGGAAGAGCTGTGGAAGAGCACATAGAAGCCATGCTGAGGTTGAGACTTACAAGCTGGGAGGACGTCTGCTGGACCTGACTCTCTGAGGACATCAGGAGACCACAGGTACTGGGCAAGCCCCACCCTCAGGTGCCTACTACAGCCCACTTCTTGGCTGCTAATGCTCATAGACACACGGTCTTCCATGTGTTCACATCACTAACGAGTCTCATGCCCCCCTGAACATGGTACAACTCAGGCTAGTAAAGCAAATACAAAAACACTGCACACACATGGCCACATCCTCACCATAGGAGCAAGGTCTGGTGTCCTCCCCTCTCTCATGCTCCATGCCACCGGTCTGTGATGCCAAGTACCAGCAGGCCCTACTGTCCTGTTGAGGCTAGAGAATGGAACTTGGAGAAATGGCAGGAACGTTAATACCACAGCCGAAGAGGAAGGGGCGGGGACTCGTTTGTGTTAGAGTCAGCGTGCTGTGTAACAAACTATCTCCAGAAAGTGGATTCATTTTGCTCAAGCATCGGTGCGCTTCAGCGGTGCCCTATGGGACAGCTGACTTTCTTTTCCTCCTAACATATAAGTCTTACAACTGGGCTCATCTGAGTGTCGTTTGGTTATATACCTCCTAGCTGAGGCTGGCTGCCAGCTGGAGCCTGCAGGCAGTCACCCTGCAGGTGGCTTCTCCATGTAGGCCAGGCTTCCTCACATCCTGGTAGCTGGCAGACTGGTGGATGCCTTTCAGGAAGGGAGTCCTGCTGACTCTGTGTGCATTGTGTCGCCTGGGCTAAGAAGTCACCTGGTGTCATTCTCCCCGCCCCGCCCCCCCCACAACACTTTCTGGGTTAGAGAAGTTATAAGACCTCTGGGTTCAGGGAGAGGACATAGACTCCACCTCTGGGTGGGAGAGAGATTAGAGAGTACAGTGGAAAGTCCAATCCTCACAGTTCTGTCCCTGCATCCCCAGTGGGGATGTGGTGGGAGGTCCTTCATGAAGGGCAAGCCCCAGGACACTGGAGCTTGGCCCAGGAGGCCCTCTGAATTCCATTTACTCAGATCCCATGGTTAGGACTCTCAATCTGGTAGTCAGGGTTGTTCACATGACCACTGCCTGCATAGCCATCTACCTGTCTCTTGTCCTATGAGCAACAGGTTCTTTTCTGGTAAGCAAAATCACTATTGGGCTCCCATTGAGATACACAGTGCAAATAGCACTCGCGTCTGTTCCCAGCAAGTACAGTGCATTGGATGTAAGAGAAGCTACTGTTCTTATCAGTTTCCTAAGCGGAGTTGAACTAGATATGGCCCGTGTGTGTAGGAAGCACAGTTCTTTTGTTCTGAGCAAGCTCACTGTTCTGGCTGTGTAGGAAACACAGTAGAGTAGAAGAGTTCTCCTTTCTTAAAAGCAGAGTGTGTTTCTTGTAAGGGAACTCAGTGTTGAATTCCCCTTCATAAACGGGAGGCCTTCTCAGCCCTAGCTCAGCAGAGCTGTGACTGTGACCTTGATTGGGTTGCTCTTCTACTACACTGTCAGTCGCTGAGACGGAGATGGTGTAAGGCAGAGGTCTGGTGTGCTCTCACTGAAGAGGGAGCTCCCTCTGGCCTGCAGGACAGCATCTGTTCCTCAGCGCTATTCTCAGCTGAGACAATATCCCTGTGCTGGGAAACCTAAGACCTGTAGGCATCCACGTCACTTTACCTGCTTGGCTTTAAGTGGCTTCTTGGTTGGAAACTAAGGAAGGTTCTGGAATTTCAGGCCCAGAAGTTTCTACAGATGAGAGATGGCAACCTTCTCACAGCAGCTCATAAAATACCCATCAGCCTTGATAACCTGCCATATATCTGTCTTTCCATCCATCCACCCACTAACCCCAACCCCACCTCTGTCTATCTGTCTATCTATCTATCTATCTATCTATCTATCTATCTATCTATCTATCTATCTATCTATCTATCTATCTTCATTTTATCAGTTGTTCTTACCATCCATCCATTTACCTATCTACTACTCTGTTGTGGAATATTTAACTATGTAAAGATGTGTTACACTTGTTTATGCTGCATTCATTTAACGATGTAAGGATGTAAGGATGTGTGTTTAACTATGTAAAGATGTGTTGCATCTGTTTCACCTTGCCTGCCTAAGGCACCTGATTGGTCTAATATAAAGCTGCACAGCCAATAGCTAGGCAGGAGAGGGATGGGTGGGGCTGCCTGGCAGAGAGAATAAATAGGAGGAGGAATCTAGGCTTGGGAGAGGAAGGGGGAGAAGAAGGAGAGAGAAGAAGGAAGACACCGGGGCCAGAAGCCAAGCAGCCACCAGACAGAGACATAGAGACAGCAGAAAGAAGGAAAAGGAAAGAAGGAAGAAAGAAGAGAAAGGGTAAAAAAAAAAATCCCTGAGGCAAAATGTAGATGATTTAATTTAATTAATTTAAGTTAAAAAAGCAAGCCAGAAATGAGCCTAAGCTAGGCAGAGCATTCATAACTAATAAGTCTCTGTGTCATGACTGGGGAGCTGGTTGGTGGCCCAAAAGACAAAGCCTGGTACACCACCTCCTTCCCTCCATCCCATTATCTATCCCTTCTTCCCTTTCCCCTCCATCTTTCTATCCTTACCCCACCCCTTCCTTTACTTCTCTATCCATCCACCCACCATACCTCCTTCTATGTCTCCATCCATTCTCTCTACATAGATCCCTCCATCCTCCCTCTATATCTCCTTCCTCGCCTCCCTCCACCATCTCATCCACTTCTCCATCTCTTCTTCCATCTTCCTCTCCATTCCTCCACCATCTGTCCAAACATCTTGCCCTCTATCTTTCCTTCCATCCATCTCTTCTCCTCTCATGTTCCCCTCCCTCCATCCATCCCTCTACCCTCCATCCATTTCTCCATCCTTCCCTCTAGCTCTTCCCTCCACCTTCTGAACCCCCTCACACACGTAGACTTGCCTCAGGAAGTAAAGTGGGACCCCAGGCATCAAAGCTCCAGTGCTGAGGGAAAAACAAACCATGGGAACAGAGAAGCCATGTCTGCTGTGGGAGATGCAGTGTAGAAGGAGAGAGGGGCCAGTCAACTGGGTCAGGTGGCCATGCTTCTGACTGGGCTCTATGAAGACTTCTAAATGGAGTGCCCAGCTGGTGGGCAGGAGGTAGGAGCTTCCTACAGCCGAGGAGCAGTCAGGCCTGTGCCAACTTTGAGTATGATGCTTCCAGTTTTCTCTGCAGCCAGCTCCACCTCTTCCCCCCCCTCAAATTGCCAATTTAAATACCTAAATTGTTTACTCGCTGAAATCAATTGACAAGGGACCAGCTTGTATTTGCGATTCAATTGACTATGATACACTGTATTACAGTTACAGCTCCAACGGATTTCTTTTTAATTTATTTTTCTCTTACCGTTCCCCTCCACCAGTAATTCTGAGACTAATTGTCCTCATGCTCGCCCTCATCAGCTTTGAGAAGGATAACAGATTGCCATAGCTTGGGGATGCCGTGCTCAGGAGCTGCCAGTCACTTGCCAGACCCACAGCATCCACTTCCCTCTGCCCTTCTCCCTGAACAGCCAGCTCTATGCACCTGAGGCCCCCAGGAAGCTCCCGCCATCAGTGTGGACTCTGGTGGGCCCAGGATGAACAGAGTACATGGGGAGACAAGAGACCCTGCCTGTGGCTGCCAGGAGACTCCACTCAGAAGACCAGCTGAATGAAGCCTCTGTCAGCTCTGAGTGTCTGAGTGATATCAGTAGTACCACTGAGCCAACTCTTCTCCCTGGGCCTCAGTTTCCCTGCCTGTGAGTTGGGCTTCCAAAGCTGTGACATTCTGACCTGCTTAGAGTATGGGAAGGGAAGTGCTATGGCCATGGCTGGAGTGTCATTTCTCTTTTCTAAAAAAAAAAAAAAAAATTACATTTAAAAGTTTATTTTTATGTTTTTTTATGTTTTAAAAAATTATTTTTGTCTATGTGTGTAAACATATACATCCCATGGCTTGAGGGAGGGGGTCAGAGGACAACTTGTGGTAATTGGTTGTCTCCTTCTACCATGTGGGCCTCGGGGGTTAAACTGGGATTATCAGATAAGCAGGTGCCTTGACCTTTTGAACCATCTCACCAGCCCTTAACATGCATCCCCAAATATTAAATCATTGTTATAATAATAAAAAAAGATGACCACCTGAACAGTCTTTATCGATGGCCGGATGCCTGTCCTCATGCAGAGGAAGGCTGGAACCTCTAGGGTCGGAACCCCCTTTGACAGATAAGGAAGCTGAGGCCCAGGGTCAGCTGCTGCTCGACTGACCCCAGCATTCCGATCTCTGAGTCCCAAAGGCCTTGTTTCCTTCTATCCTGTCCTGATAGGAGGGGTGGCTGCTTCCCAAGCACCAAACCTATTTATGTGGCAGCCTCAGGAATAAATACATTTCTGTGTGAAATATATGTGGCCCCGATAACTCCATCTCAGCCTCAAAGACTCTTGCACAGTGAGCATTTTTTTTTTTTTCTATTTTGGGACATAGATTCCCAGGAGGCTGAGATGCCACCTCCATTACTGGGTGTCACATTTGTGATCAGAATCAATAGTAGGGTGAGAAGGGATGGAGGGGGCCAGGTGAGGGAGCTCCAGGGGGGCCCAGCCCACTAAGGTTTGGCTCCAGGCTTCTAGAACAGAGGAATGGGTGTGGGGAAGCACCCAGCCTGTAGTCCTGCCTCATACAGCCACCATCAATCAGATGGTACGGACATTGAGCCACAGGAACCTGGAGGGGACAAGAGACAAGTTCCCATCCACAGGCACAATGAGTGCGGGACAGGCTCTTGCCCATTTGTTTGCGTCCCTGTCCCTCAAATATGACAGCTATCAGAGACAGCACCCTCGCTTGCCGAACTCTGTGCCAGCTGTGCAGCCTTCTGCCCTGACATGCACACCAACCTCCTTCCCCTGCTTGGCTAGCATCCAAAAACCAGTTCATACCAGAAAGGGCTATGCCTGACATTCCATCCCCTTTAAGGTACAGCTTGGTGTCTTGCTGGAGGGTTAACCCGAAGAAGAGACTTTTTCGACACCTCTCTTGTCAAACAGAGTAAGTCAAACAGGCTAAGGATGTCCTTCTGGGCTCTGAGCAGGTGACAGGGTGATTCCTGCAGGTGCCTGAAAACCATGGCGCTCTGCCTCTCTTTCTGCCACTGTTGTCTGTAATGAGCTGGCTGGGTTACCCATGGGCTAGAAGCACTGTCTGTCCTAGGGGACATGTGTAGTGGTGGGATGCCATGCTAACCAGGCCTGGGACACTAGGCAGAGCCAGAAAGGCTGGGACCAAGTGACTGGCTCACTTGGACTTGCTGAGACCCCCCCCCCCACTGTACCTCTGGGCTGTTCCGCACCTGGAACTATTCCTCGCAGCTTCTACCCCCTACTGAAGAGGGTGAGTGGCTCCCCAGGGTCCCACAGCACAGTGAGATGCCAGGGAGCCGGAACCCAATTACACCTAGGTGTTATGTATGTGGCGTCCTCCGGATGCATTGATCCCTCAGGGTGACAGATCTGTTATGAATCGGGTAATAGACCAGCTTGTAAATGAAATATATTGGATTTTCAGGCTCCTGGCTTGTGTTGGCTTGAGGGGAACGGGGCAGATTTATGAACCTAGGTGGGTGGCTGGAGCTCTGGCCTTTACCGTGTGGGTCACAGTGTGGGCTTTTCCCTAGACCCTAGGGGCTGAGAATGGGAAGGTGACCTAGGAGAGCGGTAGGGACACCAAGAGGGCTTGGAAGGCATTTGGAAGAGGCCAGAGGCCAATGGGGTCAGGAGCAGGGTGTGGCATGTTGATGGGCCTAGGCAGGGGCAGGGGTCCACTGCCTTTGGTGAGTTGGGCATTCTCCAGTGACCTTCCCTAACTATGAGTCAGTACTTTCATCATTTTATTGGAGCAAGGATAAGCCAGGCTTGGAAATTAAGCAATTTTCCCTGTGTGTCTGTTACTTGTCTATTTGCCGTAACAAAATGCCTGACCAAGGAAGGGAAGGTTTATTTTGGTTCAAGGTTTGACTGTGTAGTCCATCATGGTGGGGAAGGCTGGCAGCAGGTGTGGGAGGCAGCTGGTTGCTGGTAATAGTTTATCAGTCAGTAGGTCAAAGCCACAGTCAGTACGCAGAGCGAGATGAAGGATGGTGCTCGGCTTGCTTCTTCCTTTATATCAGTCTGGGACCCCGGACTGGAGTCCTAATGTGTCTCCCACATTTCGGGTGGGTTTTTCTCATCTCAGTTTACCCAGCTAGAAACCCCTCACAGACATCGGAAGAGGTTTGTCTCTTCAGGGATTCTAGACCCTGTCAAGTTGACAGTCAACATCACACCTTGTGTTACTCACCCAGAAACAGAGGCGGGCTGCACAACCAGACAAGCTGACTTCACAACCTTCTCTTCCCGTGACACCCAGAGTGAGCCTTTTTGGGGGGCTCTGCTTCACACACAGTCATACCACAGCTTCTACATGTACAAGTACGGGAAGGGCCTACAGAGACGGAGCAGTGCCAGTCCTAGGGTAGGACACAGTGACAGAGCAGGGGCCTCCAGCACCAGAGCTGGGGCTGAAAGGATGTATCATTTATGCATGGCATTTGGCAAGGGTATTCTGTGGATACACAAAGCCCACCAGGACAAGCCCACAAACACACAGCGAGGCCTGGGCCAGAACGCATTGTGGGATCCTCCCTCCCAAGACTGAAAAATCACTGAAGACAGGCAGGGGCTCAGTGTGCAGCCTGTGGTCAGAGCCTAGGTTTTAGTGTGTTAGTAGGGTCAGGGACCAAACTGAGACAAGCTTTGTGACCTAGGTTTTGCATAGGGTGGAGGAGAGAGGACAATGGGGGCAAGAATTTAACATATGGTCAGGGTAAGGGCTCAGTGTGTGAGCAGGGTCAGGGTTCAGTATGTAAGCAGGGTCAGGGTTCAGTGTATGAGCAGAGGCAGGGCTCAGTGTGTGAGCAGGGTTAGGGTTCAGTGTATGAGCAGGATCAAAGCTCAGTGTGTATCTGGGATCAGGGCTCAGAGCAGAGCAGGTGAATGGGGTGAACTGTCCTGGTCACAGGAACTCACTGTTGTCCTTTGTTCCTTTCCCACTCATAAGCTATTCTGCAGCCCAGACTCCAGAGTGAGGTGTAGAAGCTCCTGGACCTGCCAGGTCCCATGAAAAGACACCTTCTGTCCCCATCTTGCTGAGGGTCTCTGGCGGAGAGGCTGGAATCATCTCTGGTGAGATGGGCCACAGAGGCAATTTCTTCCCACCCCTCCCTGTCCACCAGCCTTGGAGTCCACACAGGGCTTGGCTGTTCCTATGGCTGATGTGGTTTCAGCCATTCTCAATGTCCTGCTACATCTGTGCAAAAACTATCTTTACTAATTCAGCATGAAACATGTCATCGTCGTCGTCACCAGTAACTGTGCCAGGATGCTGCCATGGAGTCACACGCTGGTTCTGGGGGTCACCTTTTGGTGTAGACCAGGCCAATGCATCTCCTCAACAGAAGGCGCAGGTACCGAGGACACAGGCTGTGTGTCTCTTCCTCAATGTGGCCTTGAGGAGAGGGCTGAGCCACTGCATTCATTTTCTCATTTCTGCTCAATGAATGGCCAGAGTGTCCACCAACACCCTGACCTCACACAGCGTGTATTCATTTCTCATGGTTCTTGGGTTCAGAGAGATCCAAAATGATTATTCGGGGCTAAAGTAGGCCTGGGTAGGGTTGGAGGCCTTCTAAGACCCAGGGAAATGTCTTCCTACTTCAGTATGTGGGGCTGCCTTCAGGCCTTGGCCTGTAGTGACCCCATCATCCTGCTGCCCCTCTCTCTAGAGCCATCCAAGGTCCCCCATCCCTCCTGAGAGTGCTCCAGTGATGATATCAAGGGACCCCCAAGTGCAGGGTGATGCCCACGGTCATCTCAGGTCCCCTTCTGCTGGGAGGAAATGTGTTCACAGCACCCACCGAAAAGCAAGGATAGCAGCAGCTGCCTGCAGAGGGATCCTGCTTCCATTGCTTGTCACGGGTGTCACTATGTGTCCCTATTGTCCCTTCCCCAGCAAAGATGTGCAGTTCTACCCCGCTCCCCGGACACTGGGAAGTGCTTTGTAAACACTCTTAGGGCATCACTAGAGACAAGGTACATCTTAAGGGATGTACTGTACTGCTCGCACGCCTCCTGTGATGGAGAATATTGACTGGATCTTTACAAGATCTAGAGTCACCTTGGTGACAAGCCTCTGGGTGTGTCTATGAAGGAGGTTCTAGACTGGTTAACTCAGGTGGGAAATGCACCCTACTGTGATGGGTGCTATCCCATGGGCTGAGTAAAAAAGGACAAAGCAAAGCTGGGCAATGGTGGCACACGCCTTTAACCCCAGCATTCAAGAGGCAGGGGCAGGCAAATCTCTATGAGTTCAAGGTCAGCCTGGTCTACAGAGTGAGTTCCAGGACAGCCAAGGCTACACAGAGAAACTCTTGTCTCAAAAAACAATGACAAAAAAGGTGCAATGTGACTCATACTTCTACCATCACCTCTTCCCTGCCACGAAGGACGACTGTACCTTCTAACTGGGAGCGCAAATAAACCCTTCTTTCTCAAGTGGCTTTTGTCTAGTGTTTGATTATAGCAATGAGAGAGGTAACTAACACTTCTTAATATTTTTCAGTCACTCAGCAAACACCCACTCAGACTGGGGAGCACAGAGGAAGGCCTGACCCTAGGATGCTCCACGGGCAGTGAGGAAGTTTTGCTGAGATTTGTAACTTGCCTCTCAGGAATCTGAAAGCATAAGGTGAGGTTAACCCCAGCCTCCTCCAGCCACCTTCTTTCTCCCACTCTAGGCTGGAGCTTGATTAAAACCAGGAAAGGACAGAATGTCAGGGTAGAGAGCTAAGGGCGTCAGGGAAGGGGACAGGCTTGGCAAGGGATATGGGGAGCCCATGGAGATGGGAGTCCTAGAGATCTGTGGGGACCTGGGAACCTGGATGGGGGCCCCACAAGACACTTCTGGAAGGCCTCAGGTGGGGAGTAGTTGGGAGTACTGAAGGAGGAGGGGAATAGGGCACTTCCGGTCTCTTGCAGACATTGGTTGGGACAGGTTCCAGCCATGCCTCGCCATACCATCTCCTGCTCCAGCCCTCACTGAATGGTCATGAGACTCCTCTTTCCCATGACCAGCTGGACTTTGCAGTCTTTGCAGGGACCCTGAAGTCTTCCGGTCATTTCTGGACACCTGCACCATGCCCAGGCAACTCTTCCACAGGGGCTGAGAATCTGGTACTCTCCGCCCCCACTGGTTCTGAAGTCGGTTCCCAGCCTTGCTGGGACTGATGTGACTCCATGTGGCTACTTAGCCAAGTACAGTGACAGGACAGGTGGCTGAGACCGCTCAATCCTTTCAACCGTCCAGGCCTTGTGGATAATGCTGACCTGTGCTTAGGGGGTGGAGCCACCACTTTTGGAAGGGGCCAGGGGCCACCCAGGGGAAGAGATGGCACCAGCTGTCTCACCTGAGGATCCAGGCCTGCCCACCCAGTCCGTCATCCTGGTGAGTGGCTGAGACATCTGTCTGTTGGAGCTCATTTCTGATTCCTTACCCAGGTCTCCCCTCTGCCAACAGTGCCAGGGCTGTTAAATGGTCCTGTGTCTCCTCCTTGCCCCTCAAAGCCCTGCCTTCCTAACCCTTCCATGTGTGCTGTTCAGGGGACTCTATCCTTGGCTTCTGCTCCAAGACTTTTGTCCTTAGTACCCAGTCTTGGCATCTAGTGGATCTGTAGCAATGGCCATTGGCCAGCCATTCTGGCCTCTGGGGACACCAGTGGTGGGATCAGGCATGAGGGTGAGATGGAACAGGGGAGTATGTCTCTGGTTGTTGGGGCAGTGCCTAGGGCATTGATGAACATTCCACCACCCCAACAGCAAGACACAGCTTGCTCTCAAGTATCAATAATGATAGATGGATGGTACATGACTCCCCTGGGAGGACAACAGCCTCACACCGGGGAGGGAGCAGTAGGATTGGAAGAGACTCAAGAGACCCAAGTGAGTATCTGTGGTGGTTTGAATAAGAATGGCCCCCATAGGCTCATGTATTTGAATGCTTAGGAAGTGGCACTATTTGAAAGGATTAGGAGGTGTGGCCTTGTTGGAGGAAGTGGTCACTGGGGGTGGGCTTTGTGGTTTCAAAAGCCTAAGCCAGGCCCAGTGTCTCTCCCTTCTTGCTTCTGTTGATCCAGATGTAGAACTCTCAGCTCCTTCTCTAGCACCATGTCTGCCATGCTTCCCACCATGCTGATCATGGACTTAACCTCTGGAGCTGTAGGCCAGCCCTAATTGAATTCTTACCTTTGTAAGAGCTGTCTGTCATGGTCATGGTGTCTCTTCATAGCAATAGAACATTGACTAAAACAGTGTCTTTAGATAAATGCATAAAATTGTAGATATTGGACCATGGTGATCCACCAACCAAGGACCTTCATGGGGCTGACCCCAAAGGCCTCACTGCTGGGCCAAGGGCTTAGCTTTGTCCTGCGGAATCCCGCAATGTGAGTGAAGCCTGCACTGACAGGAAACCAGGCACTTTATCAGGAGCTGGCTGACTGTAGGGTGACACTGGTCAGATGATCCCCTGTGGTGGGAAGTGGGACAGACCTAGGCAAGGGTGGAGCCAGGGTACTAGATGTGAAACTCATGGACATCTGCCTATGCACAGAGATTCACATCTTTACCCCCTGTAGCAGGCCTAAGAACTCTGAGGATAGGGTAAGTGGAGGGGATCCTGCTTAGCACCACCCTTTGACCCCGGACCTCTGACTCCGACATCCCATATGGCCTCTTTCCTCTACCAAAAAAAGTTTAAAAAACCTTAGAGAGAAGTTCCCTTCCCTATCGGGCCTTCTTTCTCTAAATAGACCGAAACATGATGATTTCATGAACAAATCCAGCCATGCATTATACATTTTGAATTCTTAAGCTAACAAAGTGACTTTGGATCTATAAAAGGTGCCAGAAATAAGTATCCCATTTATTTTTGCCTTTGGAACGATTCTTCTGTCCCTGCCTGCCCCCCAAGGCCCCTGCTCGTTTTGGCAGGCCCAGCCCAGCATGCGGCGGAGCTAAGGCACCCTCAGAACTGCAGCCCCGACTCTGCTACCGTTTATCTCCACAGAGCTTCACTCTGCTGGGTACATGAGGTTGAGTCCTGAGCCTGGCACATCCCTATCTGCCTCCCCTGATGGCCATTTGCAGGTGCCTCACCGATTTCCAGAAAGGGCACAGGATAGTGTGAGGGTATGATGGGTGTCACTCTCAGGAATTCTGCCAGGATCTGCCTAGTGTTGGCGCAGAAATGGCTTAGTTTGAACCCTAGGGTCTAGGTGAATGAATGTAGAGGCTGAGAACCAACTCTTCATCTTTTCTCTCCCTTCCACTGTCCTGTGGCTCAGGCTAAGTACAGATGCCCTCATAATAATGGAAGAACATGAGCTTCCAAGGGGCCTCTGGTATTGTTCCCACAATGAGGCAGAGTGGGAAAGGCAGGGTATGTGTTCCCCAGCATGTGTTGGAAGGGTTCCTCAGCTCCACATCTGACCTCTCCTTAGGAAGAGGTTTTGTCAGGTCCCCACATTTGGGGTTGGAGCTTAGGGAGAGACCCTTACTCCTCCTTACAAGAGACTTCGTCTCACATATGACTCGAGTTAGGGGTGAAGACATGAGCCCAAGGGACAAATGCTGACCTGTGGCCTCCAGGTATGTGCGTCTGCTTCAGGATCTTCATGAAAGTGGACAGAGCCTGAGGAGGAGGTTGGAATGAGGCTGGTCTTAGAGACTTAGATGCACCAGTCTACCCCTATGCACAGAGTTTTCTGACAGTAGCTACAAGTGCAGTGAATGACTGAAGGAAGGATTGGGAGCCGTGGAATCAGTACCGTGGGACACCTTGACTGGTGAGCAGATGGATGCAGGGGACATGCAGAGGTGCTCATGGGAAATGCTTCTGTCTGCTCCGGGTTGAGATGGCCAGCCTAGCTCTTCCTAGCCTCTTCCTGGCAGCTCCTGAGAGGCTCTTGGGTAGCTGCTCAATGTCAGTCACTTTCTGGGTACCCAGCTTGGCTGTCCCATCCTCAGCTCAGCTTCTCCTGCACACATGATGTTACTTGTTTATATAGAGTGCTCCTCCCCATCCACTCCTGTGCTCCTCCCCATCCACCCCCCAAGTTCTGGCCACAGAGCCATGACCAAGGTCCTGGGAGACAGAGAAGCAGATGGAAGCTGGCTGGCAGAATGGAGAGGAGAGGACCTAAGGGGATGTAAAGCCCAACAGGCCTTAGGCAAGCCCATGGGGCAGACCAGAGGAGCAAGCACAGCACATGTCCCTCAGCTCAGCGTCCTGTCCTGCTGGAATCTCTCATTGTGACCCAGAAGATGTGGGAACTGTCCTAATGAGGCCCCCACTGTGCAGGAAAGCTGCCCTGTTGGCTCTGTTCCTTGAGATACTGCCTTGCTCTGAAATATTGGGCTTAGGGAGCTTTGAGTTTTCTTCCAGAAGTTTCCCTAAGGTCCTACTTCCCAGAGGCCCCATAAAGGCCAGACCATCTGGACCTTTCCTACAATCCTGGGCCCCTGGAGCCAGAGCTATCCCCAGGAGAATGATAGAGTTTCTCTAATCCTTGTCCTGATCCGCAGTTTGTTAGTCCTGGGTTATCTCTGGCATGTGCTTCAGAGAGAACGAGAGAGAGCTGCACTCTTGACAGCTGAGGGAGTTGTAGGGCCAGTGGGAACCATTATAATATGGAGAGGCAGAGGACTGGCTTTCACGGGATTTGTGCACTTGGACCCAGCAGCCCGATGTCTCCATCTGTGAAGCAGACACACATTGGCAAGGGGCCCCTGATCTAGCCTTGAGTAGTCTAGTCCCCATACAGATACAGACACTCAGACCTGGAGCCTGAAGGGGACTATGGAAGTTCTTGTCCATTTATTCATTTGTTCACCCATTCATTCATTCATTTGAAAGTTTTTTACTGTGGATCATCTCCATAGCACAGCATTCCAGACCCCAGAGACTCTCCCTTCCTGAAGAAAAGAGGGAAGAGAGGATGAAGACAGTGAGGTATAGGAAGTGCACCAAGAACACAGTAGGTTTGCGGGTGGCTAGTTGGAGTGCTGCTGGTGGGCTGCCTTTCTGGGGAGGCAGAGTGCTGAAGCCCCAAGCGTGAAAAGACCTAGGAGGCCAGGAATCTGTGAGGTGGTAATGGTGAACATGGTGGTAATACGATGGTAGTAGAAATCATGGTTATAAGGACAATGATAGCTTCTAGTGTGATGGAGATGGACATGGTGAGGATAATGGATGAGGGTAAAGATGATGATGATGGTGATGATGATGATGATGATGATGATGATGGGGGAACAGTAAAGTGGTGATAATGAAGACCGATAATAGTTGTTTGTGTCTATGGTGATACCAATAATGGTGGTGGTAGTGATGGTTATGGTGGTTGCGATGGTTATGGTGGTTGTGATGGCGATGATCGTGGTGATGGTGATGACGGTTGTGGTTGTGATAGTTGTAGTGCTTGTCATGATGGTAATGATGGTAATAGTGGTGATGATGAGGACATGGAGGTGACGGGGATGATGGTGGTTGCTGGTAATGAGGGTGGTGGTGATGGCGATGGCGTCCATGGTGACACTGGTGGTGTAATGGTGATGGTGGTGGTAACTGTGGTGGTGATGATGGTAGCAGTGACAGTGATGATAAGGAAAGTGGTGGTTGTGATGATGATGATG